TTTATCGCGCCGAAACTTCCTTCTAGTAAGCGCTAAGACCAATTTGTCCCTGGAATTTCTGGGTAGTTAGTGTAAATATGCGAAACTGAAGCCTATCCTGTCTATCTTATTCTTGTCTATATCCGTGTAGTTGAGTTTTACATTTTAAATCGGTTTCAGTAACGGTCGGTAATAATAGCGACCAACAAATAATGGACATCATTGCTTTTACGTGTAGGAATTCAGGGAGGTGATGCCCAACGATGCCTCCAAAACGGCGATATCTGGTGATGACAGCAATGAAAGGAAGGCAATATCCAGTAGCGATACGAGTGATTCAGAACGCAATAAAATGGGCTTCATTTCGTGTACCAGCTATGTCGTAGGTAGGGATCTTCTAATCCATCATTAAATCCATCAGTAATTATATATTCGGAAAAGATAGGACAAGAACTCAAAAATCTTGGGGCAGCTTTTAGGGAACATTATTGGATCCGGAATATTTCATAACTCCTACTTCAATACTCAACTACACTCAATCTATAGGACTTTCAATTATTGTGTGGATAGGATGTGGATTGATATCATTGATAGGTAAGCGCTTTGTTTGGGAGACAGTGAGCACCGATTTCTTTGTAAGCGCTGTCCGCTAAGAATTCTTAACATTGTAAACAATAGATTTTCTGTGTGCGTATGGAGTGAGAATCGCTTCAAAGGATCTGTAGTGATTGGAGAGATTCGGCAACATTTGTTTCAATAAGGCGCGCCGCCGATTCTTCCACGGCCAAGTGGTCTAGTGGTATGATTCTCGCTTTGGGTGCGAGAGGTCCCGGTTTCGATCACCGGCTTGGCCCAAATTTTTTGCACAGCACACAGCGCGATCGCACATTCACGAAACTTGTTCGAGTGGCTTATAGGGGTGTCTATGTGCGTATGGAGTGAGAATCGCTTCAAAGGATCTGTAGTGATTGGAGAGATTCGGCAACATTTGTTTCAATAAGGCGCGCCGCCGATTCTTCCACGGCCAAGTGGTCTAGTGGTATGATTCTCGCTTTGGGTGCGAGAGGTCCCGGTTTCGATCACCGGCTTGGCCCAAATTTTTTGCACAGCACACAGCGCGATCGCACATTCACGAAACTTGTTCGAGTGGCTTATAGGGGTGTCTATGTGCGTATGGAGTGAGAATCGCTTCAAAGGATCTGTAGTGATTGGAGAGATTCGGCAACATTTGTTTCAATAAGGCGCGCCGCCGATTCTTCCACGGCCAAGTGGTCTAGTGGTATGATTCTCGCTTTGGGTGCGAGAGGTCCCGGTTTCGATCACCGGCTTGGCCCAAATTTTTTGCACAGCACACAGCGTGATCGCACATTCACGAAACTTGTTCGAGTGGCTTATAGGGGTGTCTATGTGCGTATGGAGTGAGAATCGCTTCAAAGGATCTGTAGTGATTGGAGAGATTCGGCAACATTCGTTTCAATAAGGCGCGCCGCCGATTCTTCCACGGCCAAGTGGTCTAGTGGTATGATTCTCGCTTTGGGTGCGAGAGGTCCCGGTTTCGATCACCGGCTTGGCCCAAATTTTTTGCACAGCACACAGCGCGATCGCACATTCACGAAACTTGTTCGAGTGGCTTATAGGGGTGTCTATGTGCGTATGGAGTGAGAATCGCTTCAAAGGATCTGTAGTGATTGGAGAGATTCGGCAACATTTGTTTCAATAAGGCGCGCCGCCGATTCTTCCACGGCCAAGTGGTCTAGTGGTATGATTCTCGCTTTGGGTGCGAGAGGTCCCGGTTTCGATCACCGGCTTGGCCCAAATTTTTTGCACAGCACACAGCGCGATCGCACATTCACGAAACTTGTTCGAGTGGCTTATAGGGGTGTCTATGTGCGTATGGAGTGAGAATCGCTTCAAAGGATCTGTAGTGATTGGAGAGATTCGGCAACATTTGTTTCAATAAGGCGCGCCGCCGATTCTTCCACGGCCAAGTGGTCTAGTGGTATGATTCTCGCTTTGGGTGCGAGAGGTCCCGGTTTCGATCACCGGCTTGGCCCAAATTTTTTGCACAGCACACAGCGCGATCGCACATTCACGAAACTTGTTCGAGTGGCTTATAGGGGTGTCTATGTGCGTATGGAGTGAGAATCGCTTCAAAGGATCTGTAGTGATTGGAGAGATTCGGCAACATTTGTTTCAATAAGGCGCGCCGCCGATTCTTCCACGGCCAAGTGGTCTAGTGGTATGATTCTCGCTTTGGGTGCGAGAGGTCCCGGTTTCGATCACCGGCTTGGCCCAAATTTTTTGCACAGCACACAGCGCGATCGCACATTCACGAAACTTGTTCGAGTGGCTTATAGGGGTGTCTATGTGCGTATGGAGTGAGAATCGCTTCAAAGGATCTGTAGTGATTGGAGAGATTCGGCAACATTTGTTTCAATAAGGCGCGCCGCCGATTCTTCCACGGCCAAGTGGTCTAGTGGTATGATTCTCGCTTTGGGTGCGAGAGGTCCCGGTTTCGATCACCGGCTTGGCCCAAATTTTTTGCACAGCACACAGCGCGATCGCACATTCACGAAACTTGTTCGAGTGGCTTATAGGGGTGTCTATGTGCGTATGGAGTGAGAATCGCTTCAAAGGATCTGTAGTGATTGGAGAGATTCGGCAACATTTGTTTCAATAAGGCGCGCCGCCGATTCTTCCACGGCCAAGTGGTCTAGTGGTATGATTCTCGCTTTGGGTGCGAGAGGTCCCGGTTTCGATCACCGGCTTGGCCCAAATTTTTTGCACAGCACACAGCGCGATCGCACATTCACGAAACTTGTTCGAGTGGCTTATAGGGGTGTCTATGTGCGTATGGAGTGAGAATCGCTTCAAAGGATCTGTAGTGATTGGAGAGATTCGGCAACATTCGTTTCAATAAGGCGCGCCGCCGATTCTTCCACGGCCAAGTGGTCTAGTGGTATGATTCTCGCTTTGGGTGCGAGAGGTCCCGGTTTCGATCACCGGCTTGGCCCAAATTTTTTGCACAGCACACAGCGCGATCGCACATTCACGAAACTTGTTCGAGTGGCTTATAGGGGTGTCTATGTGCGTATGGAGTGAGAATCGCTTCAAAGGATCTGTAGTGATTGGAGAGATTCGGCAACATTTGTTTCAATAAGGCGCGCCGCCGATTCTTCCACGGCCAAGTGGTCTAGTGGTATGATTCTCGCTTTGGGTGCGAGAGGTCCCGGTTTCGATCACCGGCTTGGCCCAAATTTTTTGCACAGCACACAGCGCGATCGCACATTCACGAAACTTGTTCGAGTGGCTTATAGGGGTGTCTATGTGCGTATGGAGTGAGAATCGCTTCAAAGGATCTGTAGTGATTGGAGAGATTCGGCAACATTTGTTTCAATAAGGCGCGCCGCCGATTCTTCCACGGCCAAGTGGTCTAGTGGTATGATTCTCGCTTTGGGTGCGAGAGGTCCCGGTTTCGATCACCGGCTTGGCCCAAATTTTTTGCACAGCACACAGCGCGATCGCACATTCACGAAACTTGTTCGAGTGGCTTATAGGGGTGTCTATGTGCGTATGGAGTGAGAATCGCTTCAAAGGATCTGTAGTGATTGGAGAGATTCGGCAACATTTGTTTCAATAAGGCGCGCCGCCGATTCTTCCACGGCCAAGTGGTCTAGTGGTATGATTCTCGCTTTGGGTGCGAGAGGTCCCGGTTTCGATCACCGGCTTGGCCCAAATTTTTTGCACAGCACACAGCGTGATCGCACATTCACGAAACTTGTTCGAGTGGCTTATAGGGGTGTCTATGTGCGTATGGAGTGAGAATCGCTTCAAAGGATCTGTAGTGATTGGAGAGATTCGGCAACATTTGTTTCAATAAGGCGCGCCGCCGATTCTTCCACGGCCAAGTGGTCTAGTGGTATGATTCTCGCTTTGGGTGCGAGAGGTCCCGGTTTCGATCACCGGCTTGGCCCAAATTTTTTGCACAGCACACAGCGCGATCGCACATTCACGAAACTTGTTCGAGTGGCTTATAGGGGTGTCTATGTGCGTATGGAGTGAGAATCGCTTCAAAGGATCTGTAGTGATTGGAGAGATTCGGCAACATTTGTTTCAATAAGGCGCGCCGCCGATTCTTCCACGGCCAAGTGGTCTAGTGGTATGATTCTCGCTTTGGGTGCGAGAGGTCCCGGTTTCGATCACCGGCTTGGCCCAAATTTTTTGCACAGCACACAGCGCGATCGCACATTCACGAAACTTGTTCGAGTGGCTTATAGGGGTGTCTATGTGCGTATGGAGTGAGAATCGCTTCAAAGGATCTGTAGTGATTGGAGAGATTCGGCAACATTTGTTTCAATAAGGCGCGCCGCCGATTCTTCCACGGCCAAGTGGTCTAGTGGTATGATTCTCGCTTTGGGTGCGAGAGGTCCCGGTTTCGATCACCGGCTTGGCCCAAATTTTTTGCACAGCACACAGCGCGATCGCACATTCACGAAACTTGTTCGAGTGGCTTATAGGGGTGTCTATGTGCGTATGGAGTGAGAATCGCTTCAAAGGATCTGTAGTGATTGGAGAGATTCGGCAACATTTTCAATAAGGCGCGCCGCCGATTCTTCCACGGCCAAGTGGTCTAGTGGTATGATTCTCGCTTTGGGTGCGAGAGGTCCCGGTTTCGATCACCGGCTTGGCCCAAATTTTTTGCACAGCACACAGCGCGATCGCACATTCACGAAACTTGTTCGAGTGGCTTATAGGGGTGTCTATGTGCGTATGGAGTGAGAATCGCTTCAAAGGATCTGTAGTGATTGGAGAGATTCGGCAACATTTGTTTCAATAAGGCGCGCCGCCGATTCTTCCACGGCCAAGTGGTCTAGTGGTATGATTCTTTAGCTAGACATATAAACCCATTAAGGTCCCTCGCTGCTGCTTCCAGAATATTTTATTTTCTTTGTGCCGCCAGGAATTATACGCATTCTGCTCACTACTCATTTTTTCTTATTGCTTACTTATCTATCCTCCACTTGTTTCGCATATTCCACTTCCACTTTTTAGGAGCTATATGCTACATCGAGCTGGGTACCTCTATCACTGAGCCTGGTTGTGACTTCGCCTATACGGTGTATGTTGGCTGGAAGGCTATTGCGTTTGCGTTCATGTGGGTTTCCGTATTCGTGACTTACCCCGCATCGGCTGCTGTTCAGGCAATGACCTTTGGACAGTACATCGGTATCTTCCTCTATTACTTGTTCTTTTTCTGTGAGTTCCTGCTAAGGCCAAAAATGTGCGTTTAGTAAATGGTATGGAGCCAGTGTGGTCTCTTGGTCCAGAATGGCATGAGTTCATGGAACGAGCTCTGGGTTATACTCTTCTAGGTGAGAGTCTTCATAACACCTTAAACATAATTTTTTGTCATTCTCGAATGTGTTCTTTTTTTACAGTCGTGCTTATCGTGCTCAATTTCTACGCTCTTGACCGTTACGCAGCGCCATTTCAAGTGGCCGTTACCAGTGCCAAAATGCTTGCAATGGCTATTATAGTGTTCGCAGGATTCTACTATCTGTTCTTCGAAGGTACGGGAAGTAAGAAATCATATTTTTTCCCCTACATCAGTAAATATTTCTCTCCTAAATCAGTGTGCCTCACTGCTCTATACCTTCAGGTTGGTCGAAAAACTTGGAACATCCGATGGCAGGAAGTGTATGGGCGCCCGGAAAATTGACGTTGGCATTCTATGGTGGCCTGTGGAGCTACGCTGGTTGGGATATACTAAATTATGGTACGCCAGAAATTGAAAAACCTACACGGTTAGTGGTTTTATCATCCGTAAAATAGAGACTTATCCTCTCCTTCAAATGGGCTTTCCAGACAGGGTACAACATCGTTGTGCTAAACACATAGGGGAGTTCGTACTTTTCTGCTGGGGGGATAGTATGTGCCTTTAAGAGCAGTTTTGGAAAAACTTTTTCCTGGCTGTTCAATTTTCGCGTGATTTTTTCCTGTTTAATGTGTACTATAGCCCCCCCCCCCGCTCGACGGAAAATCCTTGGGTGAAAAACTGGAAAATGTGGGAAATTGGTAGGTAGGTGTTGGAGAAGGGAAGCGTACCGAGACCCCCATTTAGGGAGGGGTCGTACTGACACCTCTCTCGAAGGGGGCGGGGGTCGTACCTACACCACCATTTCACACATCACGATGTTGTACCCTGTTTCCAGACCAGGGTTCATCGTCACTATGAGGGGAAATTGGTCGTTTAGCACGACGCTGTCAGGCTGCACAACTCAGTTGCGTCCCTCCGGCGGCTGGATTTGGTGCAGCGTCAGCCTTTTCTGCACAAGATATGGTCACCTGCCAGCTTCCAGTTAGTGGAGGAACAGGACTGGCGCCGCACCATGGCCAGCACCCCACTTCCCTCCCTCCCCCCCCCCTCCCCCACCTCCCCCGAAACGGCTCAGCGTCCATATCGAACAGTGTCTGTGTTCCGAATGGTGGGTACCACATCCTTTCGACGTGCAGAAACTCTGTCTCGGATATCACCTTTCTTCTTTGTTGAACTTTATTCATGGCGCATCCCAGGGCAGGGAGGCAATCATAGACGCGATCACATGGCCATAAACATGCCATGGTGTGGCACGTCTGAATAGGACAACTCGTCCGGATTGCTACGCTACAGAATTTTCGCATGAGAATTCAACATGAACATTGAATTGGTGCTCTTGCTTCTCAACTGGTCTGCTTCTAGTGGTTAATCAAGAGAACCAGGAATTCAGTAATTTTGACAAGCTGCCTCACTAAAAGACGTGAAGATGAGAGATGAGACGTCATTGATAATGTGATTATAGGTTTCGCTGGAGATTCCTGGGTCTTCTCGCGGGGAGGGAATGGGTTTGACGCGGTGCCAACCCTTTCTCCACCGATTGCTGTCTCTTGTACGCTTCTGACATTTGGGTGGAGACGAACCTGGCGCGCGAAGACGCCATCCAAGGCCTCCTGACACGCGCCCATCTTTGGCAGCGAGCAAGACCGTACGTCCTTCCCCCACCCAAAATGGGTTTGTTCAGTGATGAGAGTCATAAATGTGTGGCAATATTTCCGAAGGTGTACCAAGACTCAGAGTAGAAGTATGTGAGGAGGAAACTGATAGAAAATACGGAGGTGTAGAGGAATCAGATCAGGTAGTCTTATTAGGGGTTCATTAACATTCGAAATGACCGCTAATCGCCTTCCATTATTCTCTGTTGCAGCACAATGCCTCTTTCGCTGATCACGGGTATTTTAATAGTCTGTATCACTTACGTGGCTATCAACATATCATATTTTATCGTCTTGACGCCGGATGAAATGAAGAACAGTACAGCTGTGGCGGCGGTAAGTGACATCTCTCAATGATCTTGTTTTGCTTTCTTTGTTGTTTCTGACTTGTTCTGCTGAGCACACTTTTCCGACATATTTCCGTGTGACGTACATTCTTGGAAGCGATTATTTTCACAGCGCACGCCAGATCAACAAGCAGCTAGCAAAAATATTACGAATAACTTCGCTGACCCCCTTCTGTTCAGGATTTCGCCCAGAAGACCTTAGGAAATTTTTCCTATGCGATTCCATTCATGGTGGCTTTACTTTTGATCGGCACCTTGAACAGTAATCCTTTTCTGCGGATCACGGTAAGTTTTTCCGCATTCGATCAATAATGCCGATCGATAATCGATCATTTGAAGATTCATGCACGCAGCCGCTCGTGAAGGCCACCTACCGACATGTATAAGCTGTCGCCATGAGGCTTCAAATAGTCCCCGAGCAGCATTGCTGGGACAGGTGAGAAAACCAGTAGAGATTCTGGCCAGTTTTTTTTGATTGATTGATTGATCGATTTATGGTCTTCCAGATGATCTGTACATTCGCCATGTCATTCGTCGATATTGACACTCTAATCAACTATGTGACATTCGTGATGTGGTCACAGAAAGCGGTTACGGTAGCCGCACTGCTCTACCTACGGTACACCAAAATGCCCGTTTCTGAAAGTATGATTATTCAGCGTTTTTCTCCTAGCTAAAACTCCTCTTAAAACTATTTGCGTCTGTTGAGGGTCAAGCATGGCTCTGAG